AATATGGCAAAAATGACATTTACATAAGAAAGTTTCAAGTTAGTCATCAATGACTAAATTTATAGTACAGAGCTATTAACTCTCACTCTCTGGAGACAGAAGAGCAGCAGATTCCAAGAAAGTCACAAACCCAAGAGCTTCCAAAATAAACTTTTCTGCCTAAGAGATTTCGGTAGAAATTGTTCAAATACTTGTAAGTCCCTCCTCCCCGGTGATTTCATAACTCATGTAATACAGATAACAATTGACACTACACAAAATAAAAGATTGAACAGTATCGTAACATCGGCAGACAGTAGTTTGAGTGCTTACAGGATTTAAGAAAGCCTCTTTGCTGAATTAATGCTAGAACAATTGAATACAATTAACAATTAGCTGAAGGCATACTGATTACTGCAAAATAAAAACCCCCAAACCACTGCATCTCAACACATGCTGGCCTTTCAGGAATTTGTCTCTTCTTCTTGATACTAATTCCTTCAACACGTTTACATATCTAAGTCTCCTTGCTCCAACCCCCTCAAGCAAGCCAAGCTCTCCTTGCATCTTGTGAAATAAGCTTTCTCCTCAGAACTCAATTGTTTCTCTAACACCTCATTTGCAACCGTCCACCGGAAATCGCATGATTGAATCATCTCTGGATGTTGTTGACCCTGCTCACAGCTGAATTAATCTCAACAGTTCATTTCTCAAGTGTGACCTCATGACAGAGAACGTTTTCCTCCTAAATCATTTTCACTCTGTCACTCACAGAACTTTTTGGCTTGCTATTAACTACCAGAAGACAAAATCAAGACAATTATTATTAGTTTATGCATGCTTTACTGCTCCAAGTTGCCTGTTCTCAACACTTAACCTTCACACTTATGCTGCTGCCTCAACAAAATACAGAATGTCCAAGCTAAAACTGAATTAGATCTAGTAACATGTATCTCACTTAAGCATAAGAATCATATTTAAGGACTGTCTTTCTTGCAGAAGCATACTGGACAATTTCTTTCATTCATGTTAAAAAATGTCTATTTTTAAAGTATCTTAAAACGAAAATGTCTTCTTACTACGATTAGTTCCTCAGTTGAAGTCTTGAACTTTCAAGGACTGCAGAGTAAGAAGACAGTAAGAATACTGGCTTTCCTGAAATTCATTCATGATGTTTTTAATATTGTATTAAAAATGCCTTTAAACATTGTTTTGCATTTTATAGCTTCCCTTTAAAAATAGCTGCATTTCTTTTGTCTCGGAAATCCTCAAAGTTTCCAAATTTCTGTGAGATATGACTTCAAATCCACTCTTTCTTTGGTCTATGTTAGATAACCTTTTCTGTTTTCTCTTCTGCTGTATAGTTGGCCCACAGTCCTTCCATATACCAAACCCATTATCACTGCACGAATTCTATGACAACTAGACTGAATAATCACAGACATGCAGAAGTCTTGAGTGGTAGAGAAGCACTCTGAACTCTGTGTAGGGACAGAGAAAGTGAGGGAGAGAGAAGTACCTGTACCCGACTTCTTCCCAGGGAATTTTTTATACCAGTTATAGTTCTCCACATGTGCCGAAAATCGAGCACTTGCCTTTTATTCGGTCAGCCTTCATAGAGCTTTGCATTCAAAACACCTCTGGGTGTGATGAGAACCAGGTACTAAGTAGCAACACAAACCACCAAATACGTAACAATAAGCAAAAAGGCAAAAATACCTCCGTCACCCAAACCCCTACGGTTTGAGAAGGATCTTGTTCTTCAGCAACTGCCAGAAGCTCCCCTGCACATGAAACTAATCACACGGACAACCAACTTGTGCTCTTTGAAACAAAGAGAAAAAAGCCCATCCTTCCAATTCCACTGTACGGTTATAAAAAGACATTTAAAAAAATAGATTACACCTATGATTAAGGCTTAGGACAGCTGGGTCTGCAAAACTGCAGTTCCCACGCCCCTACTGAGCCACAAAACGTGAGCTTATAAAGTCCCACCAGTTCCATTTTCTACTCCTGTGAATGCCGAAGCTGCACTGAAAACCACACAAAGCTTTTTCAGTTGTCTTCTCCATGAACAGTGGGGTTTTCACTTTCATGTTTGGTGACCGGAGAAGAGATAACAAATCTATGAGGATTTAAGATTATAAGTGAACACCCTCCTGAGCCAATGGAAATGTTGGTGCACAAGATCTGGAGTGATTACATAATCTTCTAATTAAGCCAGATGCTTATTCCTATAAATGGCACCATTTCTGTTTGATTTAAAATGAGACGCAGTCAACTACATTTTGATCAAGTCTTATTTATCCAACATCAAAATAGCAGTAGCCGGCTTCTACGTAAAAGGGAAAAAGGGCTGAGTGACATCTCCACAAGACTTTTATTTCACCTTAATCCACAGAGTAATCCAACTGATTAAAAATTAAGCAATATGTTCTGTTTGTCAAAACTGCCTCTTAACCTCTTTAGGCCTTAACTTACATACTCTATTAAAAATACTTAGAAATATTGCATACATACAAAAGCGCCTTAGTGATTTTTTGAAGTAGCTCGCTTTTCAAATGTTTCATTATTTTTATTATTTAGTGCCACTTTCCAAGAAGAATGTTATTTCACCTGTTCAAGTAAAAGCAAATAAACCACAACGAGGACATCACGCTAGCTATAACTCTGATGAATTATGTTTATACAGTTTCAGCTCTAAGGCCTTGATACAATTTAACACACGCAAATAAAATGGGCAAAATGATTTACCAGAATATCCACATTTTTGTTCTACTTACTGACCAGAAGCAGAGAAACATTTGGAATTCTTACACGCCCACATGCACACCTCAGCCATCGCCCTTTCCATCTGCATCACATAAACCTGAGCAGAATGAGTAGTTTAATAACGTGCTGCTGTGAAAGGCAGGACTGAGACTTATGTAAGGACACGTTGAAAAGAAGGAATAAATTATTTTTACTGCAGCTTTTAAAACAATTCTACTATTTCTGAACACTGTAAGAACCAGAATAGCATCATATTTATAGTGTCACTATAGAAATAAGAAGTGCTATGGGGAAAAATATAAAAAGCCTATAATCTACTACTCTAGACTTTTTCAGCTACAAATCAAAGTGATGAAATGTCTGCACTTAGATTTACACTTCTACATATAATAAAATACAAGAGGCATGCCAAAAGAAAGAATACTGTCATTATAAAACTCAAAAAAATTCATTTGCACTAAGATGCAGCTACAGGCTGCAAGAGCTTACGGCATTTAGTCTTTCAGCACGCCAAAAAGTATTACATCTGATCTTGGTAGAGAAGCAATTTTTAAAAAAAGCAGGTAGGTAGATGAGTATTTCTTAATTTCTCATTAACCTCAGCCTACAGACATGGTGAGCAGAAAGACAGAAAAATGTAAGAAGCCATCTTTAGTTCTGCATTACTTTTTCTATCACCAAGCTAGAGAAGAGAATGAGCAATTTTTGAATAATCCTGGTTACCTACAGAGCTGCTAACCTTTCCGTTATTAACACTGATACTAAATCTTCTAGTTACTGCCACCTCTTCCCAGCAGTAGTTGGAGGACTGACATTGCCAAAGCCCACACTTCAGAAATATTCTCCAATTCCATATTCTAATCCTTACAGAAGTCTAATTTCAAGGTTGGGCCATGACCCCGCCCCCGCTAAATAGTTATTCTACTATCTAGGATATGACTGCAAATAAGGGCAAAAAAGACAGACTCACAGGTGTGCCCCCAATTCCCCACACTTCCATTTGAGTTTCAGGAAACAAGACAAAAAGATAACTTTTGTCAATAGCTGTGAAGTAGTTAAGGAGACAAAAAGGGACATACCATTAGTGTGTGTGTGTGTACCTATATATAAACTGACAATTTTTGAGTACAAAGTGGTCACATCACACTTAGCAGAACAGGATAAATTTTTCCACCTTTAAGGAGTCAGCTCTTCTCTCTAGAATTAAGGGAAACAACTATTTTGACAAATGAAGCATTTCTAAACAATATAAAGGTAAAGAGTTCTCCCATATCAGATGAACTGTTTAAATATTCCCCTTGACATGATTATTTAACATGAACGGGGTTGGACTAGATGATCTCTATAGGTCCCTTCCAACCCCTAACATTCCGTGATTCTGTATCATGTTTAGTGGTGAGAATTCCAACTCATTAGGTAGAGCCTTAACAAAGGCATGCTCCAACAGGTTATTAAAACAGTCTAATAGTTTCATTTATATTTTGGTCCTGGATATCAACTGGAAAAAAATACCACACGTGAACGGTAACAGAAAAAAACCTCTTCCAGTGGTTATATAAAAGAACATAAAAAGAATCACAGTAGAAATCCACACCTTCTTTTTGAATTAATGCACCATTCTAAACATCATTAGTTACAAATTAGCAGCATAAAAATGTTCTTATTTGCATTAAGAACATTGCTTTATATGACACAGGGTGCTCATACTGACACAGATAACATTAATTGCTTCATTTAAAAATATGCATTTTTATAATTTCTTTATTTAAGTTATCTGAAGGAAGCTAAGAACTACCATGACTGCATCTATACTAATGAATTCATGGCTCTAATTTTTTATATTCGGCTTTATCTCCAGATAATAGTGCTGTGTCTTCCCTCACCCTCTAGTAGCACCCCACCCTTAGCCAAGTATGCCTCAATTTGAGCTAAAAAGGTATCTGTGTATTTCTATTCCTTTACTAATTCCGATTAATATTATCTAGACAACAAGGCAAAGCAACAGACAAAAAGCCACGCAAGAAAGGAAAGCCCTGTCAAAATAGACATTTAGTCACTATTTCTTTCACATCTGCTAAATCAAGTTGATAATTAACCTCGCATTCACAGCACACCCTTTACAAATCAGGCAACGGTGGTAACTGAGGAAATTAATTGAGCTAACTTTAATCTCATTTTGCATTTTACATTCGCTTGGCAAACGAAATCAGCGAAACGATAAAAGACGAGTCTAATAAAGTTCCACCTACGTGAATTCTTCTGAGTATTCTCGGTGGCTCCTGGAGATGACATGGCAGTACGAAAGAAGCAAGTCAAAAGAAACACAGCGCCGGCCAAGCGAAAGCTCCAGTTACCAAGTGGCTCCGCTGACGTGCATCTTCACTGGGGTAGAACAAAGAGCGATGCTCGGAGGCTGCGTTTTCCGAGCAGTAACGCGGCGGCTGCCAGTTTTCCCCAGGTCGCTCGCAGCCGGCTGCATGCACATGGAGACTTCAACTCAGCGCCTTTCCCCAAGCCCAACACGAGCTCCCAGCAGCTGGGCTGACAGCACAAACGCACGCATGGATTTGGGAAGGTACCACACGCTGCTAGATAAAGGGGTGCGAGAAAGAGAGAGAGAGATCTTCCCGGCAGGTTTGGGCGCGATGACGTGCAGTAACAGCACGGGTTTATTTAGCAGAGAGCTGGGAAATGATTTAGAAGCGAGGAAAAAAGGTACAGAAAGGTTCCTAGTGCTTTGTTTATTGGGCAATGTTTATAAGGCTCTCCCCTCAAACTGCTTTTCCTTAACATGGCTTAGCTCAGATACCCCACAAACCAGATTACATACTATTCTTACTTCCACATAAAATATTAAACATCTTGGCTGTGATTTTCAAATAAATTAGAAGCAGTCTTCTCTACTGATTTTTTTGGTATTACATATCCAGATTCCATTTTCATCAAAAATTAAAAAAATCCCACAGTTATTCAGTTAAAAAAAATGTACAGAAACAGCACATGACCGAGAATCTTTGGTTACGGTGATGCTGCAGTTACACAACAGGGCATTTGTGTTTCAGAAATGCTGAGGGGCTGCTCCGAATTTGGAAAACTGGCACATCCCACCCCTTCAGCTTCGGAGGGTGAGCAGTGCTGCTTGAAACCACGACAGCTGTCACAATTCCTTTCTTTTACTTAAAAAGAGCACATTTTGAAAAGCTCCCTGATGGCAATTTTCAAAATACAGCATACAGACAAAAGGGAATTATGTAACGAATATTTCTCCAATCACCATCATTAGAGGCAAAATTACCAAGAATGTGTGGCCCTACGCAACTCGGGTTTGTTTCACTGGTGAAAGTAACACCAGAAATATCTATGGGGAAGATTAAAATTATAATAATAATAATCGTGGGATAATCCTGCCTTCAGTATGGACCTCAGTAATTAAAAGATGAATTCATGTTGGAGTTGCAGACAAAACAACTTAGATTTTCTTCCACACCAAGCATTTAAGCATTACCATTGAAATTACACCTTTAAACATTTTCTTCTCCACATGAACGATGCAACAGCACTTGACGTTCCCATTACTTTTTTCCTTACTTTTTTCTTCTCAGTTAGCAATAGCCAAAGAAAATCTCTATTGTTACACTGATCTCCCCCACCCCTTACAAACAGGGACACCCTGCAAGGCCGACTCTAGCGCGGGGCCAACTTCTGCAGCCAACAGCAGCTGAACTTGCATGCCCAAGAGCCATCTTATTTTTGGCCACTGTGATGTCAAAAATTCCTGCGATGCCTCTGACCTCCAAAAGGGCTTCTGACTTAGTGCAACACTAGAATGCAAAAAGAGCAGAACTCAAGGAAAAAGAGAACGCCACAGAAATGCATCAGTATCAGTATCTCTTGGGAGAATAAACCAGCTCCCTCGAAATACAAAGCAGTGTAAGACAGAATGAAAGAGCATAAGGGCGTCACATCAAAAAACCACAAGATTCTCTAAAAGTACATGGAGATGAAGCAGAATTTTTTTAAAAAAGAAGTGTTCCTACCCCTCTACTCTCCTCCAGTCAGAATTGGCATTAAAAAAACTGATAAACACAAAGTTTCAGTAGTATCTGTAACGTTCTATGGGTTATATTAACTCATCGTCTGAATCCTGCTTCCAGGCAACAGTCATCACAAAAACCTGGAAACTGGTTGAGCAAAGAGATCACAAACAAACATTATCAAACAATAAAATTAACACACAACAAACTTAAGAAAGTCTGCTTTCTTAAGAAATGCTTTTTTAAGCATTTAAAACATTAAACCAGGAGTGGTTTGGGGTGGGAGAAGCGAGAAACCCCCAAACTATCTTTGGTCAGCTGAGCTGCAAGGTCACACAATATTTGTTCCAAGGAAATCTCATGATCTAGTTTGTCCAGAAATACTCTGCGATGTCTAGAGTCTTCCTTTCTAAACTTCAGACTTTCTTTTGAAACTCTACATCCTATTTAGAGCTTTGAATATTCAGACCCATTTCCAAAACACACAACCAACTCAGAAACAGATGCCTTTTAATGGTTGACCAAGATCCACTCAAGCCTATGCTGCCACTATCAAAGAAGCCCCGGTTTTCCCTCACCAGCTGAAAACTAATCAAAAGCAGGGAGAGGGGAAACAATTTCCCATCAGATTAATAATCCAGCTGACAGCGCAGCCCATCTTTTGGCAAAGAATAATGGAAAACAGCGTACTGATGTAGCAATTAAAGAATAAATTGTAGATAATAATTTCTATAGTTTAAATACATTACAAACCGCCCCCGTTTTTCCCCTTCCACTGAAATGTAATTTCTATTTCTTGTGTAGAAAACAGTCTATCCTGAAGACTTGACAATTGAAGACATTAACCTATGAGGCAACAAACTTATGTCCAATCCTCTGCAAAAATAAACGCACACACAAGATACCATCCATTGCAGTTTGCTTCACCCAGGATATAATACTTAATCCAGCATTTGTTTTGTTCTTTTGTTAAAGGCAGCTAATAAATTGTCAACTACACCTAACATTGAACAGCATTGTATTGCCAACAAAAAAAAAAAAGCCATGTTTAGGGGGTCAGCAAGAGGCAAGCAATAGTTTTTGTGCGCTATCAGTCTCTGTCAAGACAGAAAATTGAAAACATCCGCTGCTCTTGGGTACGAGATAGAACAAGTTCTGAAAGTACGTCAATAAGTCTGATAACTCAGTCAAATGGAATCAAATGTTTGCAGCTCAGCACTATCCACCTGTGGGCTACAGAAACGTACATTTGAAAGCTTCTATGTATCTCAGTGCTGGTGATATCTGCCCCGTTGTATAAAGAATCAGTTATTTACTGGAGAGGATTAAAATCAGTGAAAGACCAACAGTGAACCTTCCTTAAATTCATCCATTTAAAAGAGTTTAAATTCTGTTATTTTTAAAGGCCTAACTTTAAGTTTATACCTATTTCAAGGCAGGCAAAAAAGAGGACAAAAGTTACAAGGAGCTAGATTCAGATCTAAAAACTTCTAAAATATGTCCTGAGAGTTAAACAGGTCTGAGAATCCGCAAACTTGAAAAAATAAAAAGCAAAAGCTAGGCGGCTATAAGGACACTTTATCCTTTAGTTTTCTTCTGCATCCGACTTATTACACTGTAACGGAAGACTTAAGTAGTTATTTGCCTTTCACTCAAGGTTTGACTCGGTCTCAAACCTTCCCATTCCCAAGGGAATGGTTATCATACTAGGGGTTGGAACTAGGTGATCTTTAAGGTCCCTCCCAACCCAAACCATTCTACATATCGGAGTCTTGATCAGTTCTTGCCCACACAATGCAGTACATCCAAACCTGTGAGATTCTCCTCCCTGGATGATTAAGAAGCTGATAAACACACATTATTAACTAGAAATCTATCAGGATTTTTTCAGCTCTTAGCGAAATAATGAGGGAAGATCCTGAAACCTAAATATATCATTGAAATTTTAACTGCATCGTATCTTTTTTACTATAGAGTTAAGCAATTGTTTCCCAGATGCTTCCTGGTATGCCAAAATAAGAGCTGTTGTCTTTCATGTCTGAGCTACAGGGTTTAAATATTAAAGTTTTTGACCATGGCCACCTAAATAAATCGTAAACCAATCAGGAAACACAGAAGAAGCACTGCCTATCTCCCCCGGCATGTTTTGGAAAGGGCACCCAAACGACCAAAGACACCCTCCTTCCCCTACTCAAATGGGTCGCTGAAATGCAAAAATAACAAAAAACGACACTAAATTAGAACTCCCATTATTAACCAACTTGGTAATGGAGCATTTGTCAACAATTCTTCACAGGAAAGAAACACCTTGAATGTTCTAACGCAACAGGCTCTGTGGTAGTATATTTGGAAATATTAAACAAACTCCATGTAGCCAATAGGATTTTCCAACACCACGTCATCTGCTCTTGCTCAGAAAAAATACTGGATGGTGTGCTCCAAATTAGAGAACAACTTCTAGAACAGCTACGTCACTGAACGTATGAACTTTGTTAGCCAGAAGCTGCAAAGATCTCCACTGCACATCAAGCATCTGGAAGACAATATGAAGATGAGGAAAAAGTTGTTTGTTTTGGTTTTTTTTATCAACAGTCATGAGAATATAGCACAATAAAGAGGATCCCTAGACTGAAATTTAAAAAAAATCATGTTTGACACACTATCTGTAGGGGCGAGTAGATTTCAAAAAAAAAAAAAAAAAAAAAAAAAAAAGAGGAGCACAAAGGGATGGAGGCAAGACTGCTCCAAATATCATGCACTCTTAGATAAGGGAACAATAAAAGCAGGGAAATGAAAGTTTAGATGCAAACGCAATTCCAAAAGAAGCATCCTAGATGTGTGAAGAGAAATGACAAAAGATCTGCTTATCAAATGTGATCCAATGACTTAACTTTGAAGAGAAAAGCAAGGGAAAAAAAACACCTCTTTATTTCACCAGCCTCCTTCTCAGAAAGAATATTTTGATAAAGCTTTAAAAACTTATCAGGACTGGTTTGCGAGAGATCTCTGATAAAAAGAGCTGAAAACATATTTTGTTGTATTGTAAACAGAAGTGCTGAAAATGGTCATAGGACCAGTTTCCCTGAGCTTGAATGAAATTAATCCTTTAAAGCTTAAAAATATGCATGACTCAGTAGCCAAAACCCACATGCGTTTCTGCCCTGACAAAGTTTCTGTCACCTTTTATTGTCCAAAAGCGCTGTGCTGCTGATTTCTAAATGGCCTCTATTGCTTTAGTTTTCTTTCCAGAAACAAACTCAAAACATTTCACTCTAAACTTTTTTTTTTTTTAAATTTTAAAATAAAAAGGGACTTCTAGAAGCAATTTTTAAATCTACCATGCACACAGTTCTCATTTGGACAAAGTCCGAAACAAACTCAACAGCATATGTTATCACCATTGTGCAATTCTATTACTTCAATTTTATTTTTTTTTCCTACCATCTACCTCACTCTTCAGCTTC